AACAACAACAACAATGATAATAGAAGAATAACCAAGAACAGCCGTGAGCATTGAGCGAACTGAATCTTCCGCATTTGCTTTCAAATATAAATTTATTGTTAATTTGCTTTTATTTTTGGCAAAAACCAACAACAACAACAACAACAATGAACAAAAAGCCAAAGAGTAACCATTATGGCTGTCCAATGAGCAATTTTCGAGTGTCAATATTTGGTCAAAAATGAGACATCCGAGGAAGCTTCGACCGTAAACGAATGACTGAGGCAACGAACTTCTTTTACATAATATGCCTGCTACACATGCCTGCTATTGACACTACAGTCGCCGAGATTGTTATTGCTGTTGTTGTCACATGCGCAAACAAATGACTTAAGCAACAAACTTGCGTCTGCTCTCTGTGTAAATTGAGTGCAATATTTGGCCAGACCCACAAAAATAATGAATCATTTGTTTCGTTTAGCTCATTTGTTTGTGCATTGTATTATGACGCACACGCACACATACTAGCACAGAATAGTGCGTATGTGTGTGCGTGTGCTTTGTATATGTAACAACACATGGCAATAGCAATTTCAATGTCAAAGTTGTAATTGCTTTTCACACACAAAATACAAATACTAATTTTTGTCGATTTACTTTTTTAAGTTTTCATTGTGATTTGTTTCATTTGTTGTTTTGCTTGAAGTGCACCCACATTTCGGTTTATAAATCATCGTTTAAACAATCGAAAACATTCAAATTTTTTGGCTTAGTTTTTTTTTTTGGCGAACAATAAGCGCTGTGCCACTTGAAAGTAATTAAGAGGATTGGCATTAAAGCATTATAATTTATACACTTGCTATGGGTAATATGTCAGTCTACTGAAATGTGCTGCATTGAGATCATTCTCATGATGTATAAATCAAATATATCACAGCTCTATAATAATATCCTATCTTGAAGTATTTATCAGCCATTGAAAACAAAATTCTCAGCTTTAAAGTAGTCCGTGTATATACCTCTAGTCAAATTATCTGAACAGTATACCATACTATATAATATTGGAATTTATTATCCTATTAACATATGCATCACTCTTAGGTATACAAATTTTCTCTGTTAAGACATGCCCTATGATAGTCCATAATTAAAGAGCATTTGTAGTTCATTCACATGTTTTGTGATCCAATTCGATTTCAACTTCTTCTGCTTGGCCTCTTGTTTGTCTCGTGTGACGTCTGTTTTAACACCTTTTTCGGCAAGTCATGAGACAAAAGAATTAATGCGGGCTCTACAGCAGTTTGTAGAGCTCATTCTAAGTGGAGTGGACCCGGCCATAATTGAGCTGTCAATGACATCAGAGGGCAAACGCGGATTCCGGCAAACAAAGAGTCAGCCGGAAATGCAATGCAATTGAGAAAAACAAAAACGAAACTCTCACAGTGAAACCCGCTGCCCCACGCCGCCGCGCCCCCCCCCACTCATATCGTTTGCCCAGCCGTTTAGGGTTTCCATGCGTCGGTCTGTCACACAACTTTTGTTACAATTTTCGTCGGGTTTTCGAGTACGTTTTTTCATTGTAATTATGCGAAAACGAAAACAAACACAATGTGTAACGCCCTCCGCACTCCCCCAGCACTGTCACTCCACAGTACGCCGCTGTCTGACTCAGCGTCAGTTGTGGCTGTCTCGAGTGTCGACACCTGCGCACCCGTTTGGGTCACGGGCCAAAAATGTGAAGTCATATGTGAAGCGGACTGGGGGGTGAGCTGGTGGTTATTCAGCCCTCGGTTCATAAGCCAAAAGGCCAGCAAATGTAATGAAATTTTTTGTTGCTATATGTTTGCGGCTTTGTGCGTCTGCATGTCATGGTAATTATGCATGGGCCTGTGTGAGTGTATGTGTGTGTGTGTGGCATGCAAATTTACTTGTTGTATGTGTGCGTGTGTGTAATAGGGATCGAATGCGGGTTGACTAAGTGCGCCAAGTCGAGCATGGGAATGCCAGGAAGTTTAAAGGGTAACTTTATGGAAGTTCTACCATTATGGAAGCTCTAGTAAGTTCTATGCCTGGCAATATAGTATTGTATTAAGCAGAAGTCTATTGGGCATACTATAATATACTATGAACCAAAACCTAATATTAAAATCTATATATCTTAGTGTTAGATATTTCAAAATATTTCATAATAAAAGCCACTGGCCATGTACCCAGCACTCAAGTCAATTACATAATCAACTTGGCACCTTGCATAATTTCACCTGCCTTGGTCATCAATTACAAATATTTACAAGAAATTTCATTAATTGCACACTCGAATATACACAATAAACACTTGGTCAAAGCCTCGCCCTCACATCAAAGGGCGGCTTCAATCAAACACGAAATTAAATAAACTTTCGCACAAAACATTTTATGCATCTCTAACACAACAATTAACCAGCAAAAAAAATTAACTGAAATATACTTTCATAGGTTTTTTGAAGAGGCCAGTGATGGCAACGCCTACACCTTAGTTGCCGTTGTGGTTGCCGTCACAGCCTCCAAATACAAACAAATTAGTGTCAGACGCAAAAATAAACTTATGAAAAGCAAAAGTGTTTGAAAAAATACATGACACATAAGCGCGTAGCGAAAGAGAAGAGATGATATATGTAAAAAACCCATCACAATGTAAATAAATTTGCGAACAAAATAAAAAACTTTTACTTTTCAAAGAAGCATCAAGACATTTTTGCGCATCATGCAATTTGATTTGCAGGCAATGTTCGTAACATACCAGCTGTGCGTGTGTGTGTGTTGAGTGCGTTTCAATCAGCAACAAAAACTGGCGGCAACAACAACAATAGCGGCACACGAGTGTGTTGAACTAATCAAGTTTGTTGCCTAAGTTATTTGATTGATTTTATTTTTTTGCGCATCAAAAATGCATTTTACGGCAAATTTTTTCTAGCTGGCATGTGTGGGTGCTCGACTTTAAGTAAAAGGCTTTTAAATAACATTCAAAACAATTTGAGCATGTGCTGCTCTGGCTTATGCAATGGCCTAAACGACGCCGCCTACTTGAGCCAATAGATTGACTCGAATTGAAAGTGAATTTTATGGCTTGTGGCACAAGTGCGAGGAATTTGAATATAGTTTGCAATGTGAATATGGTGTTGGGTATTTATGTGCTTTAAGAGAAAGGATAAGCCTTTTAGGAGAGACCAAGTGGAGTCCGAGTAGTGCACAGTGGAAAATCAATATAAAATCGATATAAATATAACGTAAAATAAGACTTAAAATTTAATGATTGCATTTAAAATATACTATAAAATAAAACTGTATTGACTCATTCTTTTCCGGAAGCCTTAAATAAATTTGTTTTTTTATTTTTTTTTATTCCTAAACAATCCCTTTAATTTAGCCGCAATTCAAATTATATTAAACTCAACAACTTTTACAATATTCAATACGTTATCTTAAATCTATTTGTAATTTCGTTAAATTTACGGCCTCGCTGCCCTTCAGCCTCACGCCACGCCCCCTCATGCGTTTGCATCACAGTAAGTATTGCGCACCAAATGCGCAGAGTCATAAAATTAGCCAAATGCGAAGCAAATTTCAAATTTCAAGCACACACACACATTTCAGCAGCTCTTTGCAAATTGTAGCAGAAACAAAGCCGAAGAAGAAGCAGAAGAAGACAAAAACCCCAAAAACTAAAAGGCAACCGAAATAGGCAATAAAAAGTGCGACGAAATTGGCAAATTTTATGTGCTCAGCGCAAAAATTGCAATTTGTGCGTTTAATTTGGGGTCGTGCCTAACAGCGAACTGTTATGCAAAGCCAAAGAGCTTAACAGCGCTGTTAAAGGACGCTGTGAAGCCATTACGGCTGTTACAGTTTTGAAGGCATTTTAATTGCAGCCCCCGCGGCCAAGTTAAATGACACATGCGCTTGGCCAAGCAGTCAGCGCTTAACTTGGCCGCGGTCACTTTACTGTTGCCGTTGTTGTTGTTGTTGTTGTTGTCGTTGTTGCTGCGGCTGCTGCTGAAGACTTTCACTTTGCCGCACTGAGATGAAATGGCTATTGACTCTTTTTGGCCAAAAATAAAACTGAACCAATTAACCCATTAGCGTACACTTTGAAATAGCTCGACCAAAAAAAAAAAAAAAAAATACCAAAATAATTAAATGGAAAACCAGACCAAAACAATTTACTCAAGTTTGCTAGAAATTTGTTTGATTAGAGGGCAAAAAGCTCAAGTTAAATAATTAAATATGTATTTGAATATAAAATATTTGTTTAGTATCATTAAATTAGAAATATAATAAAAACTGTGTTCTTTGCTTATAAAATAAATTAATTATTGGAAATTATTTAAATATTTAAGGCAGTGGAATTTGGAAAAAAATTTTATATTCGAGCTATTTTAAGTGAAAGAAATAACATTAAATATATTATATGGAATATATAATATATACTTAAAGCAAACGAACTTTATACAATTTTCAGATAAATATACTTTCAGGTATTTAAAGATATCAATTTCTGTACAAATAAAATTTATTAAAATATTTCAATATATTAAAAAACGGCCTTATTAAATTAAATTTTAATACAAATAAAAATTCCACTTATTTTTAAATTTTTTTTCTTATATTACATTGCTCTTATTGGCTCTTATCTAACTAGTTAAAGTCCTCGGCTTTAATTAATATTTAACATATTTATATATAAATTTCTAAAATATCTAACATGTTTAGTTTACTCGAAATTTCTAAGATCATATTAAGCAAAATATTCTAATATACCTGCCTTTATACAAGTTATTCTCATGGATTTTTTAAATTAAAAACTATCTAGAATTTCTTAATATGAATTTGCCTTTGAATTTAAATAATGTTTTGCAAGATAAATAATTGAAAATATAGAAACGCCTATCAAAACATAATTATTATTGATTGGAATTATTTAAATTGCATTTGGTATATATCAAGTCCTTTATCATATTTCGTTAAAATTTCAAAGCACTTACCGTCTTGCCTGCCTGGGTATGGACTGCGTCCAGCATACGGGCGCCTTGTGTAACTGATGCATATTCCTCGACGATTTGTAGGTCAGATCCCCGCACTCGGTCTGCCACACCTGCAGGTTGCCCTCGGCCGGATAGAAGGTGTACAGGCTGTGCGTGGCTGAGGCAATAACGGGCGATGCACTGCCATTGCCCTCCACACCCACGCCGTCCACTCCGACGCCCGCCAGCGGCGATAGCGTGGCGCTCGAGATGGGCTGCACAAGCAACGCTGGCTGCCCGGCCGCGGCTGCTGCTGCGGCTGCTGCTGCTGCTGCCGCAGAGCCTGCGCTCGATGCGCCGCTCTTGTAGTTGAGCATGCGACTGTTGGCACTGCCGCCACCGCCGACGCCAACGCTGCTGCTACTGCAGCTGCTCACATTGCCGTTGCCATCGTGCTTAAGGATAAGGCTGCTCGGATCGTAGCCATGGCGCTGCCTGGCAATCGCGTCCACCGAATGCGAGCGCATCGCGTGACGCGCAGGCGGCGTCACATGCAGGCGACGACCGCGCCGATATCCAGCAGCAGCGGCCGCTGCAGCGCCGGCGCCAACGCCAACGCCGCTGGTCAAGCGATGATTGTGAATGGTAGCAGCGGCGCTGGCAACCATCGGTTGGCGTTGCTTTTGATATTGCAGGCGCTGCTGCTGATGCTGTTGTTGTTGTTGTTTGAGTTGCTGCTGCTGGTGCTGCTGCTGGTGTTGCTGTTGTTGCTGCTGCTGTTGCTGCTGTTGTTGCTGTTGGTGTTGGTGATGGTGTTGTTGCTGCTGCAATTGATCCTTGTAGTAATCGCGACGCTGCAACTGCGGCGCGGCCAAGCTAAGTGCGCCGCGTTTCTCTGTCAGGTTGCTATTGTTGTTGCTACTGTTGTTGCTGCTGTTGCTGCTGCTGTTGTTGCTGGCACCGCCCGTTGCCGCTGAGCTAAGCTGCGCCAACTTGCTGGCATTGTTATTGCTGTTGTTGTTGCTGTTATTTATTTGATGCTCTGAATCGGTTGAAACCCGATCCGGATCACTTTCAAAACCTTCATCAAGGGATCGTGTTGGACTCAGTATGGGCTTGGAGTGCTGCTCCAGTTTAGTAGACGCAGACATGTCCACTTGCCAAGTTAGCTGCGAGCTATGTGTGTATGTATAAAATTATTTGTACGTATGTGTGCTGTGTGTGCTACACTTGGCAACACTTTGCTTTAAAAAAACTATGCACTTTATTGCACTTGTTGCTTTTGCAGTTGCTTTTAATTTGCCAACACTTTAGAAATATTACTTGTTTTTATTTTTATTTTATTTTATGTTCACTGCGAAAGTCGCGCCAAAGTTCGAAACTCGATATTTAATTTTTCTGCTGCTGTGTTTAGCTGCCGTTCACGTCTGTATCGCACGAAAGTCGTTCACAAACTGTTCAACGACAACGGCGCAGACTGTCGATCGCCAGCGACAGACGAAAGCTTCGCGCTCGGCACTTGTTACGAGTCGGTGAAGTTGTTGCTGCACCTGCTGCGTTCATTCGTAGCGGCTCTCTGGCCGCCGTTCGAAAACGAGAGAGAGAGGGAGAGAGCGAGAGTGAGAGCACGCGCCGCCAACAGCTGTTGACTGCTGTTACTGTCGTTACTGAGGTATTCGCGAAATTTCTGAGTACTGGGCGAGTAGCTGTGAAGGTTGACTACGCATGCAACGGGACTGGGAGCAGGAACAGTTAACAGGGCATAGCTCACACTTTGACTTTTAGGCGCACTTTGTTTATTGTTGCTGGCATTTAAAAGTTGTCCGCTTTGTTGTAAAACGTAATTAAATGAAGAAAAAATATAGTTAATTTACGGAAACGTTAGGTTTATGGCATTTAAAATAGTTATAATAAAAGCAGTAGGGACCTTTTAATGTAAATAGTTGAACTTAGGAAATGTAATCTACACACAAAGCATTCACAACCAATACTAAAATCGAATACCAGTCCAACTTTTCTGGACGCCACTGTACTGAGCGGCTCAAGCTACTCTTCTCGCTCTTGCTCTCGCTCTCTCATACACACACACACCGACACACACTTCGTATTTCACAGCTCATTCGCGCCATAAAATTTTTATCAATGAAAACAGACGCTACAGCAACAACGACCGGCACAAAACAACCGCAAACAAACAAACAGTTGAAAGCTCGAGCAACAGCTTCGCAAAGCTTTCGGCACCTGCTGCATAGCTGCAGCCTGGAGTACGACTAAGCCAGAGAGTATCAACGAGAGAGTGAGAGAGTGACCAAATTTAGTGGCTGCCTACGCTGGCGCTCGAATTTATTGTGGTTGTTGTTGCTGCGGCTGTCGCTCGCTTTGCCGTTGTTTTTTCGTCTTCTTCTTCTTTTTTGCGCTTGAAGTGTGCGCGGCGCTTGAGGCCTAAAGCAACAATTGCAATGCAGTCGGCCATTGCAATTTGATGCCGTCAAGCAATCGATGTTGAAGTGGAATGCCCTTACTTTGATTGATTTCCGGGTGCTGCGACGTTGACGTTGACGGCAGCGTTGACAGCGGCAGCGGTTTCATTTTTCGCCAGCGAAAAAGAAAAAGTGACCGAGACAATGGAGAAATTGCAATTGGCAATATCAGCAACAGAAGCAGCAATAGCAGCGACAGCAACTAACTGGCTGAGAGCGGGTAACGAGATTATGCCAAGGGGTCTGTAAAGGAGGCTTGAATTATGAGAGCTTTTCAAAGCGAAGAAGTTCAATAAAAGAAAAGCTCTAGTAATTATTTCTTAAACTTGTTTTTAGAAATTTTAATTGGATTATTTTCGTTATTTTGTATTAATATATATGTATGTCATATAGTCTGACTTTGTTTCTTGCAGTGTAGCTGCAATTTGGATGTTGTGAATGCTCTTTTTTGTTGCTTTTGCTTTTGCTTTCCTGCTTGTTGCTCTTGTTTTCTTTGGCGGCAGCTTCCGATAACGATAATCATAACTATTGCTGGTGCAGCTATTGTTGTTGCTCTTGTTGCTGCTGCATTGGTTTTCGCTTTTCTTTCATGCGCTCATTTACAAGAAAATTTTAATAGGGCTACCATAGTTTTATTTTTGATTTTTTTCGCTCTCATTTTTTTTGGGATAAGCACAAACAGTTGTTGTTGCTGTTGCTGTTATAACAGCAATTTAATAATATAAATTTTATAGTTTGAACACCATAAAAATGTAGATCTTAATTGTGTTTTCGGGCTGTTGCTTGTTATAGGATTACGTGCCGGTATTTTGATTTTAACAGCATGCCCCACTAAACGCCGCTGACCTGCACTTCGCAATTGGATCTAGCTGGACTTGGACCTTAATGCTTACCGTTATAGTTAGGCAACAATTCCAATTACAAACACCCCATAAAGCTCAGCTCACGCGTAATGCATTCAACACTCCATAAGAGAGCACTAGATTACATTACCCATAGACAGTGCGAGTGAGCGAGAGAGAGAGAGAGAGAGAGAGAGAGGTGAAGCTAGGGCGAGTGTGTGAGAGAGCGAGCCAGAGACTGGAAGTTAGATGCTCGTATAATGCTTTCTGATGGCTGTGGGTGTTACATTGTTGTTGTTGTTGTTGTTGCTGGTGCTGCTGCCACTGCTGCTATTCGTTTGCGGTTGGCGGCCCAAGTTCAACCGGGTTCACGACTCAAGCACAGCCACAAAACTTGTCTGTTAATGAGCGGCCAACAACAACAACAACAACAACAGCGGCAGCAGCAGCGGCAGCAGCGGCAGTAACCGAAGAACAGCAATAAATCAATCAAAGTGCAGTTAGACTAGTTCGGTGTTTTATCAAAGCCGAGTTCTTCAATTTAAAAAGCGTACTTAAATTACATTTAACAACAGATCAAAGTAATTTAATTAAATCTGGTTGCGAATTAAATTGAAAATGAACAAAAAAATAAATAAACCGCAACAACAAAAGACTTATTGTTTTTTAACAATTAACTGTGAAATAATTTGTTTTGCTTAAAAGAATACAAATGCAATCAGTATGAATACTGAATAAATTTTAAATCAATAAGTATCATATAATATATAAATATATTAAGCAAATAAATTGACAATTTAATTTGCAAATTATTGAATGAAATTTTTTTCTATTATGCTGATTTGATTGAAGTATAACTGATATAATTATAAGCTATAAATACGAACTTTTTAAATTATTTAAAGATCCTTTCTGATCCCATCCGTATGTTCATCTATGTTAAATTTGTCAGCTATGCTGCATCTTTATCTTATCTAACAGTTGGAGCTGGAGCAAGGCAACAACTATGACTCAAGCCTCTGGCTCTCTCTGCATCTCTGGTGTCATTGTTGTTGTTGCGTCAGCTCCTATCATCTGTTCTGGTGGCTTGCTATGCATCATCCACAGGCAGCCATGCATCAATTGTTGGCAATACACAACCGTCAAATGCTTACAGCCAGCGTAAAGCCCACAAAACTGTCTCCGACGTTTGTCAACATGGGCGGCAACAACAACCACAACAACAATAACAACAACAAGAACGCCACGAGGCAACGTGAGGTGGTATTGGAAGAGACGGGCGCACGGCAGCGCCAGTTTAATTACAACTCTACTAGTTATGACAGACGCGGCGAACAGCAACAACAACAACAACAACAAATGTCACATAATTTCCACAATTAAAGCATAAACTGAAGCAATGCAGCAACAGAAGCTGCTGCTGCTGCGGCAGAGAAGGCTGAATTCGGGAGGCATGAGCTGGGATTTAAGGGGGGCAAGCAGGGGCGGCACACACTTTGGCAACAGGTGCAACAGGCTGGGGCTGCTCAGGCTGGCCTGAGTCTCAGCTTTGTGGCACACGCATGCGTAAAACGGTTGTTTGTGGTTCTTGTTGTTGCTGTTGCTGTTGTTGCAACGGCAGCAACATGCATGAAATTGTTTGCCTGGCACAGACAAGAAACGCGCGACGAAAGGCACACAGAGCAGGAGTCGGCGACGGAGACGGAGATGGAGATGGAGACATGTTCTGCCAGTCGCCCGTTGCACGCCGAACATTGCAACGTACCCCGCGTCCATTGCGACTGCGGCAACGATAACAGCTACACAAGCAGCCAGCAACAAGGCGTGAATGCCGTAAGCAGCCCCACTCAGCTGAACAGAGCTCCCAAATGCGCACGCACAGTGCGTCAGGGTGAACTAAAAGGAAAAGTGTAAAGCCCCATCCCAAGGATACGAGATTGCGTAATGCATTTTAATTGACCCGCAGCAATTTAATTAGAAATCCGCAAAGAGACGGCTGCAAAATTAAATAATCTGTGACTTTCTGCAGTTAACAGAGTAGCAATTCAGCCATAACATGTTATGTTAAAATACGAATGCATGCATGTATGTGTGCATAATAACATTTGGCTGTTATGTTGGACTAGGCAATGTTATATTATCATAAAATGTTAATATACTGTAGACATAAAACGGATTTTATATAATGTTAATGCTGCAAGCACATCTTATATCATATATATATCATATATTCTTATAAAATGCTCTTTTATTTTTTATCCATTTTATACTTACTCTATTATTTTATATTTATTATGTTAACGCATAGCTTAATTTAAAAACAAATTACTAATTTAAAATAATAAATAAACAAATCAGTAATAAAATTTTCATAATATTTATACATTTATCACATGCAGCGTAACCAGTGTGCAAACGCATCTTGGAGGCTGTAACATCATTACCGTTTGGCCATGGGCCGCTTGCCATTGTAATTGATGTTGTATTAGAACATCATTTACGCAATTGCCACAGTTTGCAGTTGTTGTTGTTGTTGTCGTTGTTGTTATTGATGTTGCTGTTTGTGCTGTAATCAGGTAGCTGATTGTTGGAACTCTGAGCTGATTTCCTAGCTGGTGTCTTTAAATTTATATCGCCTAACGATCGCTCGATAAAATGAGAGAAAACGAGCCGAGGCAGTTATCAAATTGCCCACAAAGATGCGATTTGAAGAGTTTAGGTAAATGGCAATAGATTCTGAGTGCAGTTATACTGTGGGCTGCTGTTGTACCAAGCAACCTTGCCGCAGGCATTACTCATCGATCGCCATTAAGAGTAATGGCCCAGAACGCCCAGATGCAACGTTCATGGATATGAACATGTTCTGATTGCTTATAATACCCTGTAAATATCAGAGATGTTGTGTGAAAAATGTAGTCAAAGTCTCATTTATTGATTTAGTCACTCGAAACTAGTCAATACCTTGACAATTACTTTGGTGAATGGCATTATGTAAAGATAATGTTAAGCTGCTGTTAAAATATAGTAAAGAAGTATAGTAAAAAGAAGACCTTGAATTATTTATCATAGTATTATATATTATGCTCTAAAAGACAAATATTAAGGTAACTT